TCCCTGGGATGAAGAAACTCCAAGGAGGCTAGTCGCTAGGGAGAGAAAGCCGGGCGTTGCTATGTGACATCATTATCTGGCACCCACAGCCCCCGTTCGTTGCTGGGCTGGGCTCTGGGCCACATTTTGCGCCATGGGGTCTCGGCAGTGTCGGCTGCGATTTGGTGGGCTGTTGCTCTGGGGTGGTGGCAAGGCCTCCAACCCCACTTGGGGGAAGCTGAGTGTTGCTTTGTGGGCACCAGGTCTGTAGTGCCATTTCTCTGTAAATGGACAGTTGGCATCATGGCAGCTCCTGCATTGAGCACCTGCCCCCTGGTGGTTAGTGTGTGTCATAGCGACCAGTTGGACAGACACTTAGCATATTAGCCTTTTTTATACATATAGATAGATGTCACCACAATATGTTCAATAAAAAAGAAAAAAACATTTAAAAAGCCACTACAATTTTATTTTGAAATTATGATTATGTTGGTAACCAAGATAGATCTCCAAGGCCTCTAATTTTTCACTGAATAGCTACTGACCAGTATTTTCAGTTAAGCAGTACGTGAGCATTCTCTCGCATAGCCCTGATGTTTTGAGTGATTGCTACGAATTAATTTATTTCAGTGGATACGCTGAAATCAGATCCAAGGTCTAATACTGCTCTAGGCTACAGATCTGTTTAATCATATTTTGGATACAAGAGCTTGCAAAATCTCAGATTTAAAATGTGTTTTATATTTAAGAAAAAAAAAAATAAGGCCAATTCAAAATGTCCCTGCAAAAACTGCTGAAGTGTGATACATTTCTGTTCTCAAGTGAAGAGCAAAGGAAAACCAATTCACTATCATGATTTTAAAATGTTGGTATTTCAAGGATAGTGGCCCTGGAGTGCTGTGTTTTCATGTAGGTGGAGAGGAATCCATTCCCTCTCTTTTTAAAAATGCTAGTTTCGCTCCTTAATGAAAATAAAATAAAGCAAAGCATCATCTTGTACTTTGAAGAAAAACAAACAAAAAAGAAATATTAAATATCTCCAATGCTAAATCTTACCACATAGAAACACAGACTCATCAAAAAAGCAAAAACAAAACCAAAAAAGCAATGGCTTTTCCATACAACCTTAAAAAAAACAAAACACCCAAATAATAGAGAGATACTTTGATTCTAGAATGAAATATCCTGTTGGTTTCCCATCCTTTTTCTTTTTATGAGATTAAGGCATGGGAGGGCACAGCTCAGCCTCTGCTCAGCACAGCACCACCACAATTTTCCTTGTCTTTTGCTCCTGGCAGCGCTAAATCCTTTAAGTTCTTCCCTGGAAGGTGCTCCTCCCGCTAGGGCAATTTTAGCAATAACCTTCCGCGTGCTCCCTCCCAACCCGCCTGATGTTGGAGCTCTCGTATCTATTATAGCCCATTCGGTCCTCTCCCCTCACATCTTCCAAAAACCACTGCGGATGGTAATTCACTTGCGTAATTGGCTCAAGAGATGAAAAATCTTGTACCGGCCTCTCCTAGCTGCTAATCTGTCCAGCTGACTGCAAGCCTAATTGGCAGCTTGTTTAGTAATTTGGCTCCTAAAGTGTTGTATTGATGTTGGATAAGCAACCAGTGGGAAGGGGAGGTGACGTGCTGCTCCCTGCATGGCCTCGTGAGCCCGCTTCTGTCCCTGCCCTGGGCTCGGAAGGCGTTCCGTGGTCCACACACACTTCTCCCCATCCTTCCCCCGCACTTGACTAGCCAGCCCAGGGCCAGGGCTATTGTTATTACTCGTGATGTTATTAAACTACTAAGTTATAATACTGTCCTGTAGTTCTTAGTATCTAACTCAGGATCATAGGTTTGATTACTGTTTAAAAAAGAAAAGAAGCAGCAGTAAGTACAGAAAGTGGTAGGTGTTACTACTCTCTGTCGAATATTTTTATTATTTCATTTAAAAAGAAATTATGAACCTGGTTCACAGTTTGATGCTCAACCACTGACCCACACCGGCTGGGCTGTTCAGGGCGACTTTTAATAAAAAGTGCACTGTTTAAAAATCTTCAGCCATTACTATAATTTACAATCTGCCTTTTGTGCCTTAAGTATTCAGGAAGGTTATTTTGTTACTAAAGGCCTGGTGCACGAAATTTCTTGTACTCGGGGGGGTGGGGGGGGGTCCTGCATCCTCTTGCAGTCCAGGACCCCTCGTTCCTTACTGCCCACCTGCTCACTGCTCCTTAGCAAGAGCACTGACCACCAGGGGGCAGCTCCTGCATTAAGCGTCTGCCCCCTGGTGGTCAGTACACATCATAGTGACTGGTTGTTCCTCCAGTTGGTCAATTTGCATATTGGTCTTTTATTATATAAGACAGTGGTTCTCAATCTTGGCTGCACATTAAAATCACCTGGGAATCTTTTTAAAATCTTGATTTCTGGGCCTAAGAACTAAATAAACTGACAAACAAAATAGATCCAGAGACATGGAGGCATGCAACAGACTGACAAATCTCAGAAGGAAGAGGGGGGCAGGAAGAGATTAAACAGGGAACTTGTATGCGTATATGCATAACCCATGGACACAGACAATAGTGTGGTGGAGGCCTGGGGAGGGGCCTGGAGTGAGGTGCAAGAGGGCGAATGTGGGGGAAAGGGGACATCTGTAATACTTTCAACAATAAGGAGAAAGTAAAAACAAACACTGTTACATTGGAGCAATTTATATAATTTTGTATAATTTAAAATGTACAGAAAAAAAGGTTGACTCCTCTGGTGACTATTTTTCCTACGATATTATTTCACTAGAAATCAAAATAGTAACAGCAAGAACTCATTTTGGATAACAATGAGTTTAGTAATGTATAGTGGACAAAACATTTAAAAAAGGTAATTGCCATAATAGTAATAAGCATATTTACATCTTTTAGTTTTCATATCCTCCATAAGCTGTGACTTCTACCACAAACACAGACTGTAACCAACATTGCTGACTGCCTTTTAAAAATGCGTTAATAATATTCCTCCTATTTTGTTCACGGCTTTTCTTCACCTTTACAGATGACATTTTTCAAACAATAAAATGCATTCTGCTGGCAAGCCTTCCTGCTTCAACAGTTCTCAATTTTAGAATAGTAACTCTATCTACATCCTCGCTGCGGCGACACCCACCGTCTCTGCCTATGTGACTTTGAATGAGGCAGGGAACAAGCCATACATTTAAAAAAATCAATATCCAACCTTATCAATATTCATTTTACTTTGTCAATACAAACTACAAAGGTGAAGGAGCAGTAAATAAGCTAAAGCACTGAAATAAACTTGGTGTTCCTGTCACAATTAATAAATGTTCAAGCGATAATGCTGCTGGCTAGTGCACAGCCTTATGAAGCGATGAACTTACGCTTCATGCTGGTGCTAAGATGGGGTGGGTACAGTTTTCAACACAGTAAGCAGGTAAAGATGATCACATTTTGGGTTATTAGTTTCATAAAAGACTTGTTAAGTCTTTTTAAAAATAATATTTATTATGTATATAACATACCACATTATATTTAGGGTCCTAAATTATTGTATTAACTCAGTTTGGAATTATAAAGTGAAAGCACCTAATTTCCGGACAATTCTTTTGGTAAATCTTTTCTTAACCTGCTGTTTGACTGCATAATAGTTCACATGTAAATCAGAGGGGATCATTAAACAATGTTCAAGCTGTCAGGCTTTTAGCTCTTCTTCCATATTATAAATGAGGTGATCTTCACCTGCATTTTTCCAGCTCAGATGGAATGTTGACTAGAGGCAGGAATTGTGAAAATATGTCTCAATTCAGTGTGTTTTTTGAGAGGTCTACAAAGGGTCTATAAAAAGGTGAAAAAAAATTCTCTTTAATTCTACCTGCTAACTCAACTTTGGAAGCTGACAGATATAACTGACTCCTTATTATGTGACTAACTATATTCCAGAATTTGAAAATGACAATTTCAGAGACGTGACAAGACAATCTAGGATTCACGACCTTATTATCAAAGTGTATTTATGCAAAAGCATTTCTTACTTGAATTCGAATAATAGTCTTCACCTTGGAGTTGATTCATTAATATTGGAAGAAATTCTTTTAGAAACAGATCTTTTAAATAACCTCACTCTCCTCCTCTTGGAGAGGAGCTGGTGTGCATGGATTTGAGACTGTTCTGGATATGAGTGACACAATTCTCCTACGTCACTGCTTTTTGAATAATCATAAAAAGTTTTATGAGTTTTATTCTTGAAGGAAATTTGAAGGAAAAAAAATCTAGTAATATAATAAAAATCCAGAATCTTAAGAAAATCACAGCACTTTAGTGGTATAACATCTGGAATATGCTGGTGTGAGCTTCTAAATGTTTTAGGCTAAAGTTTAATGTTTGGAATTATAAAGTGAAAGTGCCTAATTTTCTGACAATTTTCAACACATACTCCTTATAAGTGGTTCCCTCTGGCACTATTGAATTGTAACGTCAGAACCACCTCGCAGAAATAATTATACCACCCTCTCCGACCATTCTGTATTTTCCTTCTCCCTGCACATGTGTTGAGAGCGTGAGGGCCTGATCCAGCTGTTGTCTGCTCCTGATCGCTGGCATGAAGGTGCTGTACTCCCATTCCTACGATTGTTCTGTCTCTGCCACTAATGTCTGAATCACTGAAAGACAAGAGAATTCAGGGGACCATTCAATGGAACCAAGGGCATTAAGAAGCCTACACCTGCTTACGAGAGATTTGAACTCAAGAACTTATGACATGTATTTGATCTGAAAGTGGCTATATGTTCCCACATAAAGAGATGTATTACAAGTGCTCTAATTAATATTCTGTATCTCTGCATAGCACTATTTAGATGAATCTTCTATGAAACTTACGATATGTAATAGTGTGTTCAAGTAAGCATATGCAATGAGATAGACTTCACAGATATAGTCTTACAAAAAGGTCTTGAGTAAGTTGTCATAGAAAGAACATGGGTTTAGGGTTCATGCAGGTGTGGGCTCGAAACCTCCCTTTGCCATCAATATTATACATAGAGAAGAAGATCCCCACACTTCTGTGAATTTTAATTTTGTGGTATAAAGTGATGATAATGACCAGCTCATAAAGTGGATGTAAAGATAAAATGAAATAATGAAGTTTCTGGTACAGAGTAGGTATCCAGTAAGTGGTAAATATTATTCTACATCAAAAGAAACACATTCTACACACAAGTGTTTCTAATGTCCATTTTCTGAAAATTCAATACAACTAGAAGATCAGATGTTATAACCACAGGCATAATTTCATAATGTAGCCTTTTTTATGGATGAGGAAACTGGATGAGTGGTCTAATTTTAAATTACTCTTCCATTTTTTTTTTTTTGGTGAACTATGGGATAGGTCCCCTAAATAGAATTTAAGCTTCACATCTTTCCTCCCCGCCCCCAATCCCCACATTAAGATTATATGTGTGTACACATATATGTGTATGTATATTATATATACTTATTTATTTCACCTTCTCACTGCTTACTTTGCTATTCACATGAATATTATTTTCATAGTCTATAATTGTGAAAAAAAAATGTTTCTTACAAAGGGTTTCCCAGATGAAGTTAAGAGAATGTTTATAAATCTGGATGGTTAAGTACCCCATGCAAGAGACCAAGGCTGTTATTCTTTGTAATTGACTGAGTATCTGCACTGAAAACATTTTCTCACAGTCATCTGGCTCTGTGTCACGTGCATGCCAACTGCTGTTTATTCCTATGTGGGCGTCCACTTCTTCATGCCCAGTGGGCTCCCCCTTATCACTGGTCCCCCCATCTCTGCCTCCCTTACCATTGCTCTTGCGTGAGATTTCTGCAGTACATGCTAATCTATTCATCTCCCTCAACCACACTGGAGTCATTGCCCCTGTAGAAAGGCTCCCTGTCCCCTCTGGTCCAGTGACTTCTCTCTGTCAGCACTTGTGATCTCCCTGTGCCACACTCATTAGAATGACATGCTCTTCCAATGACATGGCTCTTGAGGTGGAAATGCTGAGGGATGTTTTATTCTGTTGTGAACGTTGTCTAATAAGGAACGACGACTCTGGGACTAGACACCAGACGGCCCCAGTCACGGCCCGCTTCCCATCTACTTGATTTGGAGGCTGAGCTTAAACTTATATATATTTTATTTCAGAGATGAAGGGGAAGGACAGATAGAAACATCAAAGATAAGAGAGAATCATTGATTAACTGCCTCCTGCACACCCGCCACTGGGGATTGAGCCAGCAACCCTGGCATGTGCCTGACCAGGAATCGAACCGTGACTTTCTGGTTCATAGGTCAACGCTCAACCACCAAGCCATGCAGCTAGGCGAGCCTAAACTTTTGTGTTTATTACTATTAATCTCTTCTGGGCTGATTTGCCTTTTATCCCCCCCCACCCCCCAGTCCCCCCAACAAATCTACATTTCTTGAGGCCAAAGACACAGCCTTTGAAGATTCTGTGCCCTTTAATACCTCTCACAAAGCCTTCATTGGGGCAGGTGGATAGCGAATACTTCATTGGTGGGCTGCCTAAAACCTCTACAGAAGCAACGTGCATCCATCTCTACACCAAATGCAAATGATGTAACAGTTGCTGGCAACCGTGCCTCTTCTTAGGCGCAGTGATGAAGAATGATCACTATTTTATTCTTGATGACTCATGAACTTCACACGTGTGCTCTGCCCCCTTCCTTTTACCTGTTGTAGGAGGTCCAGGCAAGGGTGCTGCCTTCCTTCTCCGTTTGACATCTCCCATGCACAAGGATCCTAAATGCATGCTGGTTTGCCTACGGGCAATTATCAGAAAAAAAAACTATTAACAAAGGAGAAAAAGCATGATACACAAACACACAGCTTGTACAATCTGAACCTAAATCCAGAGGTTCTCAACCAAGATGGAGCGGCATCGTAAAACCACCAATCTTGTTTATATCGAAACATAATTACGTTTGTTGACAAGCGTTCAGCAGCTAAATGCGCCACCATAAATTGTTACTGGAATGAATAATATAAAAGGAATGCTTTTTAATTTTCAAAACTGGCAATCTTTCTGGCTCAACATAAAATCAAGCGCTGTGGCTTCTGACAGGAAAATAGCTAAGATTAATTATCTAAAGAGATCACAATATTGTTGCTAGGTTATCAATTGGTTACTAATGCTTTACTGTCAGAACAACATTTATTACAGGAAAAGTATGATCAATTTCTTTGAAGATATTATGCAGCAGCGAATTCTCTTAAAACATTTTCAATAGGAAGAAGAAAACAGCAATGCTCTCCCTTATAATTCATATGATTAGAATTCCTCAGTTAATTACCAGTTAGGTGAAGCAACATCCTGGGAATGCATTAATGCCGGTCTGCTGCTCCTGAACAGGCTAATGGGGTATTGGATCATATTCGTAAAGACACAGCATATGAGAACCTTCTGCTATTCTTGGAACTAGTTAGAGTTGGATTATTCTGCCTCAATGTGGGTTCTTGAATTAAACAGATTTGGGGAAATTAGAAATCGCCCATTGGAAACCAAGACAAAGTATTACAAACATGGGAAGGACATAAAGGTCTTCAGATTCTTCAGGCCACAGAGGGGCCCTGTCCACTTCCTGGATCTCAGTTCCTGACATCGGTTGAGCCCGTGTCTGGTGGTCACGAAGCAGAAATAAACGAAGCGTGTCATTTATGGGAGCGCACGCTCTTTTAGTAATTCACAGAGATATGTAGTAGTAGCTTCAAGATTTATACAACCCAATTTGAAAACATCTAGATTAGAGAAAAACTTAAAAGCAAAATGTCAATTCAGTTAAGAACCCAAATATGTGGTTATGCAGATGCACTCAGGTGTTTAAATATTATGAAACCTTGGGAGTTGTGGAATAAAATTAAATATAAGTTCTATCTATAAGGCACAAAGTAAAGTACAATTAATGATCAGGTTACTTCAAGGGGCTATACACAACCAAAGAAATATACCAGTACAGGATGTAAATGGGTATTTGTCTGGTTTCTCTTGCCATTATATTGAGTGCATAGTGTTTCCCTGTTACAGAATAATTAATTATAATTATTTAAATATTTTTAAGCCCTAGCTAGTTTGGCTCAGTGGATAGATTGAAAAATTAGTTCATTCAGTTAATGAGTAACTTTGCAGAAATATATTTATCACACATATATGTCAAAGTGTTCATTAACATCCATAACTAACATTTTTATTGGCTTTTGTGGTGTGCTCTATGGCTCACAGAAACAAGGAAAATCAATGGTTATGATCACATCCACTTTTAAAATTAAAAAAATAGAAATTTATTTTTTTAAATGTATTTTATTGATTTTTTACAGAGAGGAAGGGAGAGAGATAGTTAGAAACATCAATAAGAGAGAAACATCAATCAGCTGCCTCCTGCACACTCCCTACTGGGTATGTGCCTGCAACCAAGGTACATGTCCTTGACCGGAATCGAACCTGGGACCCTTGAGTCTGCAGGCCGACGCTCTATCCACTGAGCCAAACCAGTTAGGGCTTGAAATTTAAAATAAAATTACAACATCAGAGAAGCATAGAAATAAAAAATTAAAGTCCCAGAAAAGACACATCCTTTTTATCCAAAAGTAATGAGTTCACTGATTCAGCAAGTATTAGTATCTACTCCTGACTCAGCATAAGACCCTATAGTGGTGGTGAAAATGCGGAGAGCAGGAGAGAGGGTACAGGAGAGACCAGAGAAGGAAATGTTCAAGTCCTATTGGGAGAGTTTCAAGTCTGAGCAGGGAGACAAAGTCATAGGGTCTGGAGTAATTAGGGACAGAGGTGGCAGTGGCAGGCAAAAACCAACATTATTAACAACTGCCAGAGATTTTACTTTTAGTCTTTACATAACAGGTTGCATTTAATGTGCCTTTTTTCCGTTGGTTAGGGAAAAAAATCTGTGCTTCCATGGAAAACTATGCTTTTAGAAGATACCCTTGCAGTCATGGGCAATTTCTTCTCAACTTCAAGTTAGAGAAAACAGAAAGCAAAGGGAACCCATTCTTTCTAGAACCTGAAGACCTGAGCCATGAGAACAGCTCCTTGTAGTCCAGGAATTGTCAGGAACTGGCTCCCTGCTCCGGCGGGGAGGGATCCGGACTATGGATTGGGGAGATTCCCCCTTTTAGGCTTGTCTGCCCCCTCCCCCCTCTTTTCCCTTCCAGCAGTTCTCAGCCTGTGGGTCGTGACCCTTTGGCAGTCGAACGACCCTTCCACAGGGGTCGCCTAAGACCATCCTGCATATCAGATATTTACATGACGATTCATAACAGTAGCAACATTACAGTGATGAAGTAGCAACGAAAATAATGTTATGGTTGGGTCACAACATAAGGAACTGTATTTAAAGGGCCAGAAGGTTGAGGACCACTGCCTTAGACAGTGCAGTGGAGTTGCTACAAACAATACCAAGGAAGGTGTACCCTGTCATTTAGTTTTCACTCTATGTAAAACATAGCAGTCATCATTTAATTTAAAATCAGTGGATGTCTGAGGCGGCCGTGTCGCTTTGGTCTAAATGAGTCGTTGGCCTTTGCAAAGCTGAGCGAGCACTTGGGTTATGAGTGGAGGCGAGAGTTGGCCATTCCTGTGTTTCTGTTTGGCTGTGGTGCTCTGAAAAATGACAGTGCCTTGTCCTACAAACAGACCCAAAGTTACTAAAGGATCATGTTTAGGACCCTTTTGTAAGACGCCATGTGGAAATGACCAGTCAACCCTATCCGTGTACTTGTTCAGAGGACTGGCTTACGATGGAGAAGAGGGCAGACCAATCGAAGCCTGATGATTCCGTATCTACTGACGCCTTCCACACTGGGGGTCACAGACACAGTATTTAAGCGGAGAGGATACAGGAAGAATGCTGTCTCGTTATTCATAAGCACTGGCACGGAGTTATGACTTGAGCCACAGTTTCCCAAACACTGATTGTTAAATTTCCTACTAAATACGAGAACAGCAGAGCTCACAAAGAAGTCACTTTTTTTTCTTTTGCAACAGACTTCACTCACGTATCCCATCATCCCTTTAGAAAATATCAGCCTGGACAGGGCGCCAGCTGCACAGACGTGAGGCAGGGCCACTGTGTCACTGCGGGGGCCATCGGGGCAGAGGGGAGGGTGGGGGCTGGGAGATCCAGTCCCTGTCACTGCGGGGCCATCGGGGCAGAGGGGAGGGTGGGGGCTGGGAGATCCAGTCCCTGTCACTGCGGGGCCATCGGGGCAGAGGGGAGGGTGGGGGCTGGGAGATCCAGTCCCTGTCACTGCGGGGCCATCGGGGCAGAGGGGAGGGTGGGGGCTGGGAGATCCAGTCCGTGTCACTGCAGGGCCATGGGGACAGAGGGAAGGGGTCATCCAAACTCATTGAGTGCCGACTATGATGCTAAACAATTTCACATCCTTTATCTTGTTTAATCCTCCCAATAACCTAACCCCTCATAGATCTGAGGCACCCAGAGTCCAGGAAAACTGTTACTTGTCAAAAAAAATCACATACACAAAAAATGAAGGGATTGTATTTGAGCCAAGAAATGCTTCCCTCAAAAGAATCACTTTTTCCCTCTTCCTCACTACATCATTCAGCTGAGTTTATTACCCTCCATTTAATAAATGTCTACTGAGAATGAAATGCATGCCATGCCCTCTGCCATAAAACGGGATTGAGAAATAAAAAAGATACGGTTTTCATTTCCTGGGGTTAAAGTCTACCGATCATGTGGGAAAAAGATTTCAACTCAGTATTCAAAGAGAATCCCAACCAGCAGGTGAGGGGTCCTAGGCCCCCAGGTGAGAGGACACGCCTGCAGGGGCACAGACACCCTGTAGCTTGCCCGGGACGTGGCATGTTTGGGGGTGTGAGCACCTCAATCGGACGGGACCTGGGACATAGGGAGGCGGGGGAGGAGATGGCGCCTCCTGGCACACATCGCATCGCGTTGTAATAAACAACGAATCTGTCCATTCGCGATTATTTTAAATTCTCCAGAAAACAAACAGTGGAGCTGCCTGCTGGACTGAGTTCATCAGTGTGTTTACTAAACAGATAGTTGAATCCAGTGGGAAAAGCCTGTCCCCAGGTCTTTGTAGACCTGGTTCTGGGTTCTGTTGCCGCTTCTGTGGGAAAGTTACTGCTCAGCGAAGAGATGGACTCAAGGGTGGGTTCTTGTCCAAGGTGGCTCTGGAGGCCGAGAGGCGGCTCATGAGCGGAGTTACAAGGGCCCCTGTGACACAGCTGGCAGCGACAGGCTCCAGGCTGAGTTGGGTCAGCTGTGATTTTCTGTAAGATGTCCCCTGGCTTTCCCTGTTGAGCCGGGACTCATTTTACAGTCATAGTTCTATATGCTGTAACGTACATCGGCTGAGTATGGCTACTTTGTCCTCCACATCGAGGAGGTAATAAACACAGGTTATTTTCATCACAAGCCAGAATGTCTGAAACTTCTGAAAGAGGGGAGGAGTTAATTCTACTTGGAATATGTCAGACAGTGTTCTTATTTCATATCAGCTACTTGAATTTAGGTTAAATTATTGTTGGTCAGAGTTCAGTTGGGAATCCAGGACCCCATTGAAATGTCACCTCTTCAAGGCAGCCCTCTCTGATTGCCACTGCCAGAATACTCTCTCACTCACATCACAGTGTCTTCTACCTTCAACTGCAGCCCTACATGAACTAACATTCTCGCTGCACGTACACTCCCTGAAGGCTGTGGGCCCTACATCTGATTTACCTTTATAAGTAAATTCCCCTTAGTATTTACAAACCTGG